TATTGTATTATATTGTATTGTATTATTATATTATAGATATAATTATAGATATTATATATAATATAATATAAATGATATAAAATTAATATTTATAATATAAAGACCTTTGTGCTATTTGCCGTTTTCATACGCGAGTTTAAGAGAAATACGAAACGATGCGAAACGGGATATTTCATTGTTTTAATTAGTTTAATAATTTAGTGCATGGGCGTATGCGACGCGCATGCAATAATCCGCAATGTGTTCGATCTTTTTGCAAGCTCATATTGTTTTGTCTGACACCAGCTTATCGAGACGAGTTCGATTGACTTCGACAGTTTATTATATACTGCACAGACGTGATTAATTGGTCACTGGAGTATGTATAGGGTGTTCCATTTAATTTAAACACCTACGTACATGGATGATAACACGATAGAATTACACATATTCGGATCACATACAGGGTGTCTCAGGTTTTTTCGTATTTTCTTATAACTTTTTGACATCGCATTTTTGAGCCTATGTGACATTTTTTTTCTTATTTTCGCTGCCTGGAATATGTTGACACCGTTTCGCCGAAGAAAAACCTAAGACACCCTGTATAAGTCATATATTGTGCTGTTGCAAATTTCGATCTTTTTGCAAGCTATCTACATGTGAAACAATCGTGTATAAGTGACGTGAAGGCTTGACCTTGACGATCGCCTGACACTGTCGGACTGGCAGCATATAAATGTTTAATTATAAACAAATTTGAATGACTTAAAAATGACGAGAACATTGGCAAAAGATGGACATTGATAAAATTATTTTTTTTTCCTACCAGAAACGTTTGTTCCTGGATTCATTCTGTTGTTAGTGATGGAGACAATATTTTCGGGACACTCTATATGAATCTGTATCGTGCACGTGATTGATAACGTCAATAGAATGTTTATGTTTTGTAGTTCATGAGGATCAATGTACGTTATCGTACGATTTTGGCGAGCTCGTGTTGACTCGAGACAGGGGTTCGAAAAGAAATTTTTTGGAATTCGCAAAAGAATTTTCGCAATTTCTTGATCTTGAATTAAAGCTCGAAGAGTCTACTTTAAGACAAGGTTCATTCGGTTTCGAAAAGATTACAAAATAATGTTCAAAAATCGAATAATCCCGACCGCTGTCTCGAAGGAGCCTCCATTATAAAGGAGCCTCCTTTAATTCGATTTCAAGTTGCACTCTCGTCTGTCTTTTTTTCATGTTACCAAGCTCAAATTAAAGCTCGAAGAATCTACTTTAAGACAAGGTTCATTCGGTTTCGAAAAAGTTGCAATAACACTTCGAAAAGCCGAGAAAGCTCGACCGCTGATCCGGGGAGGAAGGAATTCGACTTGGAAGTAAAATCTTCGAACAATTTTATGTTGCACTTTCGTTGCAATTTTCGAACGTTATTGGGCTCGAATTGAAGCTTGACTAATTCACTTTAAAATAGTGTTACTTTCCGGAGAATCGGTCCACCGAAATTCATCCAGTCAGTACTCGAAGCTACACAGAACCGCCCAAATTATTTCACTGATCATTCGCTGTTAAGAAAATCTAGAGAGAATCGTACCATGATACGAGAGAGACAAAGAGAGAGAGAGAGAGAGAGAGAGAGAGAGAAGGATATAAAAATATAAAAATAATCCAATCCATCCAATTTTCGGACGACAGTTTTCCCGGTGCCCAATTCATGGTCGCCGTTTGGTCTGAAATACCGGNTTATTATATTGTAGATATAATTATAGATATTATATTATATTATATTATATTATATTATATTGTATTATATTATATTATATTATATTATATTATATTATATTATATTATATTGTATTATATTGTATTGTATTATTATATTATAGATATAATTATAGATATTATATATAATATAATATAAATGATATAAAATTAATATTTATAATATAAAGACCTTTGTGCTATTTGCCGTTTTCATACGCGAGTTTAAGAGAAATACGAAACGATGCGAAACGGGATATTTCATTGTTTTAATTAGTTTAATAATTTAGTGCATGGGCGTATGCGACGCGCATGCAATAATCCGCAATGTGTTCGATCTTTTTGCAAGCTCATATTGTTTTGTCTGACACCAGCTTATCGAGACGAGTTCGATTGACTTCGACAGTTTATTATATACTGCACAGACGTGATTAATTGGTCACTGGAGTATGTATAGGGTGTTCCATTTAATTTAAACACCTACGTACATGGATGATAACACGATAGAATTACACATATTCGGATCACATACAGGGTGTCTCAGGTTTTTTCGTATTTTCTTATAACTTTTTGACATCGCATTTTTGAGCCTATGTGACATTTTTTTTCTTATTTTCGCTGCCTGGAATATGTTGACACCGTTTCGCCGAAGAAAAACCTAAGACACCCTGTATAAGTCATATATTGTGCTGTTGCAAATTTCGATCTTTTTGCAAGCTATCTACATGTGAAACAATCGTGTATAAGTGACGTGAAGGCTTGACCTTGACGATCGCCTGACACTGTCGGACTGGCAGCATATAAATGTTTAATTATAAACAAATTTGAATGACTTAAAAATGACGAGAACATTGGCAAAAGATGGACATTGATAAAATTATTTTTTTTTCCTACCAGAAACGTTTGTTCCTGGATTCATTCTGTTGTTAGTGATGGAGACAATATTTTCGGGACACTCTATATGAATCTGTATCGTGCACGTGATTGATAACGTCAATAGAATGTTTATGTTTTGTAGTTCATGAGGATCAATGTACGTTATCGTACGATTTTGGCGAGCTCGTGTTGACTCGAGACAGGGGTTCGAAAAGAAATTTTTTGGAATTCGCAAAAGAATTTTCGCAATTTCTTGATCTTGAATTAAAGCTCGAAGAGTCTACTTTAAGACAAGGTTCATTCGGTTTCGAAAAGATTACAAAATAATGTTCAAAAATCGAATAATCCCGACCGCTGTCTCGAAGGAGCCTCCATTATAAAGGAGCCTCCTTTAATTCGATTTCAAGTTGCACTCTCGTCTGTCTTTTTTTCATGTTACCAAGCTCAAATTAAAGCTCGAAGAATCTACTTTAAGACAAGGTTCATTCGGTTTCGAAAAAGTTGCAATAACACTTCGAAAAGCCGAGAAAGCTCGACCGCTGATCCGGGGAGGAAGGAATTCGACTTGGAAGTAAAATCTTCGAACAATTTTATGTTGCACTTTCGTTGCAATTTTCGAACGTTATTGGGCTCGAATTGAAGCTTGACTAATTCACTTTAAAATAGTGTTACTTTCCGGAGAATCGGTCCACCGAAATTCATCCAGTCAGTACTCGAAGCTACACAGAACCGCCCAAATTATTTCACTGATCATTCGCTGTTAAGAAAATCTAGAGAGAATCGTACCATGATACGAGAGAGACAAAGAGAGAGAGAGAGAGAGAGAGAGAGAGAGAAGGATATAAAAATATAAAAATAATCCAATCCATCCAATTTTCGGACGACAGTTTTCCCGGTGCCCAATTCATGGTCGCCGTTTGGTCTGAAATACCGGTCCCACCTAAGGCCCTACCCTGTCCCGCGATCTGCTCTCCCCCACGATCTACAGTCAGGTGTTCGCGAACGAAACCGCCGCAAGCCAGACAGAAATCATCGTCGATCCCGCTCGTCCGCGATTTCCTCGGTCGCCTCGCGAATTCGTAATTCGATGCATACGTGCGTGCGTGTCGCGCGGTTATGGATATGTCGCGTGAACGCGGTCGCGTACGATAGATGACTTGACAGCTTTTTCGATTCCCATCGTGACGATGTACTGTCTGTGCTGTTCGTCGTCGCAGAGTGCCGCGAACCGGCCGACAGTAGAGCGCTTTTAGCGAGCCGCGCTACCGTGACACGCTGTCCTTCGGATCACGGCTTCTCGATCCTTCGTCGAATCACGAGTGCGCTCTTGCCCATCTGGGATTTCTCGATTTCACCTGGGCTCGATCGAAACCGCTTCCTGCCCGCGACATGGAACTGCCGGTAAGAATGCGACACGGGCCTTATTGGGCCTCCGGACCGCTTTCAAGCGCAGTTGCCGTCCGAACTTCTGCTTTTTCATCCTTTATTCTGATAATATTCTTGGGATTATACGGATGTTCTTGCGGGAGGTTGCCCAGTGAACTTCATAGACCTCTGCTTTTTCATTGTCTTTTTTTTAATGTTGTTACGAGTATTGGAATAGTTTCGCGGGAGTTTATTAAGCCAGCTTAGTGGTCGAAGTATGCATTGTAAAAGTTCGATAAATGCAGCATTGTTATTTCGAAGTAATATTTATCGATTTTAGACGTCGCGAGGGCCTCTGCCTTTTCATTGTCTCTTTTAATATCGTTGGGATCGTTGGAATATTTTCGTAGAAGTTTATTAAGCGAGCTTATTAGTCAAAGTACGCATTGTAGAATTTTCAATGAATACAATATTGCTATTCCAAAGCAATATTCATCGATTTTAGACGTTGCGAGGGCTTCTGCTTTGCAGGGATCGTTGGAATATTTTCGTGGAAGTTTATTAAGCGAGCTTATTAGTCAAAGTACGCATTGTAGAATTTTCAATGAATACAATATTGCTATTCCAAAGCAATATTCATCGATTTTAGACGTTGCGAGGGCTTCTGCTTTGCAGGGATCGTTGGAATATTTTCAGGGAAGTTTATTAAGCGAGCTTATTAGTCAAAGTACGCATTGTAGAATTTTCAATGAATACAATATTGCTATTCCAAAGCAATATTCATCGATTTTAGACGTTGCGAGGGCTTCTGCTTTGCAGGGATCGTTGGAATATTTTCAGGGAAGTTTATTAAGCGAGCTTATTAGTCAAAGTACGCATTGTAGAATTTTCAATGAATACAATATTGCTATTCCAAAGCAATATTCATCGATTTTAGACGTTGCGAGGGCTTCTGCTTTGCAGGGATCATTGCAATATTTTCGTGGAAGTTTATTAAGCGAGCTTATTAGTCAAAGTATGCATTGTAAAATTTTCAATGAATGCAATATTGCTATTCCAAAGCAATATTCATCGATTTTAGACGTTGCGAGGGCTTCTGCTTTGCAGGGATCGTTGGAATATTTTCAGGGAAGTTTATTAAGCGAGCTTATTAGTCAAAGTACGCATTGTAGAATTTTCAATGAATACAATATTGCTATTCCAAAGCAATATTCATCGATTTTAGACGTTGCGAGGGCTTCTGCTTTGCAGGGATCGTTGGAATATTTTCAGGGAAGTTTATTAAGCGAGCTTATTAGTCAAAGTACGCATTGTAGAATTTTCAATGAATACAATATTGCTATTCCAAAGCAATATTCATCGATTTTAGACGTTGCGAGGGCTTCTGCTTTGCAGGGATCGTTGGAATATTTTCAGGGAAGTTTATTAAGCGAGCTTATTAGTCAAAGTACGCATTGTAGAATTTTCAATGAATACAATATTGCTATTCCAAAGCAATATTCATCGATTTTAGACGTTGCGAGGGCTTCTGCTTTGCAGGGATCGTTGGAATATTTTCAGGGAAGTTTATTAAGCGAGCTTATTAGTCAAAGTACGCATTGTAGAATTTTCAATGAATACAATATTGCTATTCCAAAGCAATATTCATCGATTTTAGACGTTGCGAGGGCTTCTGCTTTGCAGGGATCGTTGGAATATTTTCAGGGAAGTTTATTAAGCGAGCTTATTAGTCAAAGTACGCATTGTAGAATTTTCAATGAATACAATATTGCTATTCCAAAGCAATATTCATCGATTTTAGACGTTGCGAGGGCTTCTGCTTTGCAGGGATCGTTGGAATATTTTCAGGGAAGTTTATTAAGCGAGCTTATTAGTCAAAGTACGCATTGTAGAATTTTCAATGAATACAATATTGCTATTCCAAAGCAATATTCATCGATTTTAGACGTTGCGAGGGCTTCTGCTTTGCAGGGATCATTGCAATATTTTCGTGGAAGTTTATTAAGCGAGCTTATTAGTCAAAGTATGCATTGTAGAATTTTCAATGAATGCAATATTGCTATTCCAAAGCAATATTTATCGATTTTAGACGTGGCGAGGGCTTCTGCTTTGTAGGGATCGTTGGAATACTTTCAGGGAAGTTTATTAAGCGAGCTTATTTAGTCAAAGTATGCATTGTAGATATTTCGAAAAATGCAGCATTGATATTCCAATGTAATATTCATAGATTTTAGACTTATTTAAATTTCGTGCCAGTTCCTCATCATTTCATTTTATGTTATTCGTATCACGAGAATATTGTTATGGAAAATTATCGAGCGCACCTTGTAACCGAAGTACGTATTTCAGAAACCTGCACACATACAATTTTTGTGAATATTATCGATAACAATTTTCGTGTATGCTCGCATAATTTGCGGAAGTTGCCGAACTTATCGTAGCTAATATTCTAGTCTACGGGAATTATCCTCGTAAATACGAAAGCAGCACAGCTTGGAATTGCATTTAAAAACTGTCCGAATCATCGTTGTTTTCGACTGTTTCCATCGAGATCATTGCTCGCGAAATTCTCTTCGTAAGTGCAATCATGCGATTGCTATAATCCAGAAAGTGGATAGATAGTGGAAGCACAGAACAATACATTTGGATTAGAAGAATTCGAGAACATTGTTATTGTACGTATTTTTGCAATATTTATCAGTCATTTAAACTTGACAATTGTGGTCTTGCCTGGTTCTTAATTCTGAACTTTATTTCTTTTCGCACGATGTTCCCTAATGACATCATTGGTTCATTAGTCGCCATTAATCTTCCGAACGCGTATCTTTCAAGGATTTTACTGTATAAACTGCACTGTTTATGTTTGCTTGGATGTTTTATCGGTGTCCTTGTCCTTATGCGTATTCTGAAAAGTAACTTGCCATATCGAGCGAAACACTATACTAATTTCCCGTGCAATTTGCAAGAGATTAGTCTCGTCCGGAATGTATAATAAACAATAAATGGAATGTCACGTTTCGATTTCTGCGGAACAACGGCGTTGTTTTTCGCATCGCAAAAGTGAAATCTCGTAAATAGCGTCGTGACAAAGAAAAATCTACTTCAGACAGCTATTCAAGCTAATCGGTTAATTGATTTACGCGATGCGCAGTGTTCGCTAGCTTCGGGAGAATGATTTCGAAGAAATTGCGCTTGGAAATTGTGTCTTTTGTCCGAGCGCAAAATACTGATAGCGTTATCAGCAGACAGCTGATCTTCGCGTCAAATAGAAATCGTTTGTAAACATATGCACGAGTATATTAAACAACAATAGCCACGTCGAAGCTGCTTACTCCCCCTCTCTCTCTCTCTCTCTTCAACGGTCTGAATACGTTGAAAAATCGCTATCGCAAATTATTAAGAAATTATTCGGAGGAACGATACATTGTTGTTCAACTCTTTGTTTCTTGAATATACATATTTTCATTTATGTAGCTGGACCCTTTCCAAATTCTATTTTGCAATTTCTGATAATTAGATCACAAATTTTAGGAATTTATAATCACTCGTTATAATAATTTAATTAGTATAATTATATTAATATAATTTATAACTCATCATCGTTATTATTATTATAAATTCCTCAGATTTGTAATCTAGTTATCAGAAATTATAAAATAGAATTTGGGAGGATGCCAACTGTATAAATGCAAATATCTTAGAAAAATGGTAATGGACTAAATAATGATAAAAAAACGATGATATTTATTTATCAAAAATGATAATAATTGAAAAAAGATCCCGAGGTCGTTGACACAATATTAAGTTCATTTGATGTTCCCGTTGCAATTTAAAAAATTGCAGAATCGTAATAACTGAAACTACACAATTTATTTTCTTTAATTGCATCAACTCATTGCCATAAATGCATAAAATCCGCAATCGTTTGCTGTAGACTTTGCCAAATTGCTGCCGTTTATTTTCGTTGCATAATATCGGATACGCATTGTTGTATATTACATGAAGTATACTATGGCATTAAATAATAAATCGAATGATATTATTATATCGTTCAATCTTATTAGATCGAATAATTAGAGCGACAAAGAATTCGAATAGAACGCTGTGTAGCCGGAGCCCCAATTTTCTCATATTAAAGCTTCGAAACGGTCTGCCGATCGCAGTTATACGACGTTTTGTTATTAACAATCGTCAAGTAAAGTAAATAAACTGTTTCGAACGCAAGCCTTTCTTCGAATATTTAAAATAAAATCTTTGATTTCGAACAACACTACGAATAATTCTACGTCCAATGTTGGGTCTATACTGACCCAGACAAGATGTTCTAGCAAATGGAGAATCCGCTGTTCGAAATTGGAATATCCAAAGTTTCGAACAGGATTTTGTTAACCTTGACAAACGAATAATAATAATTATAGCAATATTATTATAATAATATAATATAAATTATATTATAATAATTATAATTATATAATAATTATATATATTACAAAAATTATATAACAATTATTGTTATTTAATTTGTTCCCTTTTGGAAAGATTCTTGCGAATTTCGTTCTCTTTCGGGAAGTTTCTTGCGAATTTCGTTGATTATCTGGAAGTCTCGCGTGAGTTTCGTTCTCGTTTCAGAATTATCGCGCGAATATTGTCATTCTTTTTACTTCTTCTGGAAAGCGTCGCGGCAAATGTCGTTGCCCCTCGCGAATTCGTCGTCTAAGGAATAAATACCGCTGGAAAAATCCGAGCTCGTTCGAATACGGTCGAGGTGTTAATGCGAGGTAAATGTATTCGTCACACGTGCGTGATGGCGGTCGCTCATGAAAAATTGCGACCTCGCGGCATGCGTGACGTTCGTAGCCGTTAAAATGTGTGACGAACGTCGAAATCCGTGCAAAACGGCGCGCGTCAAAGAGATGTCGGCTAAGCGGCGCGTTAAATTAGAAATCGGCGACCAGTCATCCGCGATCATTAGACCCGCGGCCTTTGTTCTAACAGATTCGGAACGGTGTCGTGAGTAATTTATTCGAAACGTTGATCGGTTCGCCTGCCGATACGCTGTCAATACGCGTTCGATCAATCAAACCCGACATAATCATAAATTCTACATAAACTCGCTGGCACGCTGCAATTTATTTTGGAACATGAATTATTTAGAATTAACATGTGTACACAGTTGGAATTGTTCTAAATTAAATTTCTGTTGACCGGTCAAAATAAATGTTCCACAGTTGAACTAAAATTGTACTGGAATGGTTCTAAAATTGCATTGAAATAATTCTACAATTGTATTCATTGGTATTATTTTCTGTAGAATAATTTTCATAGCAAATTCCATTTTTATCATAAATAATGTTCATTCTAAAATAAATTGTTCTTTGTCAGCAATTTTCTCCAGAAAATAATACCGATAAGTACAATTGTAGAGTGATCTCAGATTTGTTGACAATTTTAAAACATTCACGTTAATACTTCGAGTGTTCACGAGTGGCCATTTTGTTTTCATACTGTGTATATTTGAATTATTATTGAAATAATAAAATTATTAAGGACACGTTAATAGATTAATAAATGCATAGATAGTTCTGAAGCTAAGTTGCTATACGTGAAATTTGGTATTACAATACCAATGTTAGAAACGGTTTCGATATGCACCTGCAAGAGTGTTCTACTTTTTAAGACTGATAACGCTTCGAATTATTTTTAGTTCGAACGCCAGAGTTCTAAGTATAACACCTTGAATCGTTCTCGAATAATCCTTCGTAAATAAAATGAAATTTCTTCTGTTTGCTTTGGAAATTCTGTACGAAATGGCGCCTCGCAGAATTAATTGGCCTTTTTTTTTAAATGGTAACGTTGATTTTAAGGAACAAAAAGGATTCGACGTGCACGTGTCCAAAAGTCGTTTCAATATAATTGCGACATTAATGCATATTATTCATACGAAAGAATGTTTCATCGATTATACATTCAATTCTGACTTTGTGCGGCAGACAGATTCCGCTTTTTTTCTTTTTTTCAGAATTATTACGATCCGAATGTTTCCGAAACGAAGAGAGAACGAAGAGAGATACAAATACTTTATTACGCTTAGATGAAAGTACTCTGGATTATTTTCTGACATAATTTTCATCGAGTTTGACAGATTTTCGAAATTATTTTATCATTCTCTTTTTACAAAGAAAAACTGTTTCGAGATCTATAGAACTAAAAATTCTAATTTTTACGGAGCGTATAAATCTGACTCACGCCTTCCTATCCTATTTCTTTTTTTTAAATAAAAATTTTACAAAATGTGCTTTTACAAAACCTCGTCAGAATTTACCATAAACACCAACTCGCCATTGTTACAAAAAGTGAAACATCTGACATAAAAAATGCTAGTTCTAATTTAGCATCAGAAATGCATTATCGAAAGTGTAGCATAAGATTTTTTGAAATTGTCGACCACCGTAGGAATGACAGCAGTTTGAGAGAAACCTTGTCCCGTACCGACAAATTAACTGTAAATGTCGAAAAGAATTCAGTAACACAGATATCGCGAAAATCTTACGATACTTAACAAATGGAGTCGGTTTAGTTAATTAATTGAACCGCAAGTTCACGTGAACATTCGTAATTTAAATTACAAATTGCGCAATGATTAACTCGATATGGTAATCTATTGGGCTCGCCGAATGACAATGTTCGATGTAAGCAGACACGAAATACGTATGTGAAAGTTTAATCTTAGTATGGCGTTAGTAGTTTTTACAACAGATATGAACGATGATGATTTCATACTTTTACCTAGTTATGCATATTCATTTGACGTGTGTAACATGTTTGAGAACATATTAGCCTACCGATATCCGTATTACTATCATGAGAATATGTTTGCATAATATTTAGTCGGTTCTCTATGACTCTAATCGCAAATTATTTCATCAGCTTCCGATGTGCATAATCAGAAATTAAGATCGAATTGATAATTAGCCTGAAGAAGACAATCTTTAAAAAATCATAATGACGTCAGAATCTATCGAAACACTTATTTATCAATCATTTTGTTTGCACACATTTTCCGTCATATTTCTCGAGAAGATGTGACGTTGCTAACAACAAACTCAACATAAATCGGTACAAGTTCCAAAACCTAATAGTTGACAAAATTAAAATAGACTTCGACAAATTTGTTCATTGAAAAAATTACGATCGCACATTCTGTTTGACAATTCAACGAGAACTTCTGCATTAATCAACTCTACGTAGAATAGATACTATGAAATATAGCAAGCAACAGAAATTACTGCACAAAGTTGAGTCATAGTCGAATATGTTGCAAAATGTTGTTCAGCTCTGAATCATCTAGTTTTGCTGTAATCAAATTTCGAAATATGGCCAAGTACCGAAGTGAATTGTCTTACTACGTCATTCTGTTCGAAATTATTTGAATAATTGGTCGTTGGTGTTTTTCATTTAAATTTTCACGAATCTTTATGAAGTCGAACATACAAAATTAGTGTCAAACATCTTTTTTCGGTGTATCTCGCCGACAAATATATGTAGTTATATTATCCGTTCAATTGATATCACGTTTGGCGCGTGGATCTGATAAAAGTTCAATGACTGCATTCGATGACTCATTCAAACAGTGCCAAAATTGCTCGTTATCGCAGTGATTTCGGTGTTCCTACCTCGTATAACCCAACACATGCGTGGAACTCCCGATACGACGGAAAACAGTTCGCGTAAACATTCTTAAGAAATTTCTTATTTAATGTGCAATTGTTAATTATAGTGCAATTTATCTGCAAAGGGTCAAATTATCAAAATATTGAAACCTTAACATACGCACTGTATTTACGAGACTGCAGATCTTCATGCAAAATCAAAATTTTCTCTTAATCAATTACAAGAGACGTAAGTTAAATAAAAGTGTAAAGTAAAACTAGTGTCTTCAGTTTTTGCCATTTCACCTATAGTCAATTTTAGCATAAATTCCGCAGTCTAGTACTTATAGTTGATATTATTTTTAATTAATTCTCATCTAAATAAACTATGAGCGTTGGGGTTTGCTCGACGAAAACCGATTCGGAGCTACAAACATTGTTGCAAACGGCGCATGATTTAATAGCATTGTTTTAGTAGCACGCTATTTTTCTACGCTAGAATATCAATCGACTACGTAGTTCCACATTACATCACGATTTACTAGCACCGGATTATGCAACAATTGAATCCTCGTGGCAGTAATTTTTCTATTTAAATGATGTACACGCTCCCAACACGATATAGTTACAATAACATCACGCTCGATTCACTTACGCTTTGCCGTACATTAACCATTCTACATTGCTGCTTCTGCTCGCTACATTGATGCGACCTTATGAAGGTCAAACAACCATACGCGACCATTCTTATTTACATTTTGTAGGCAAATATCCACACTAAATTTCCAATTTTTCTTGCTACTTTGCATCTTGCCACTCGTTCTCCGAACCACTTGATTCTGTTGTTATTCGTCCTTCTAGTCACCTCGTTTACTTGCTATTTTCATCCTTTGCCACATTGCTGCTTCGCTCCCGCTTCTACTGTTTTCTTCAAGTCCTCAGCTTATCGCCCGCTGCATCAAGTAAAAGCATGTTAGATAAAAATGTACGACGGATCGTGAAAGTAGAGAATTCAAGCTTTAACCCTTTGCAGTCGAGTGGCGACTCTGAGGCACCGCTAAAATGTGTTATACCATCTTTTAAAATAATTTTGATTACGACAAAGTTTAGATTAAAAAAATTGTTAAGAGTGTAACTGTTGTGCGAGTGCCAAAAGTCAATTTCATATGCATCAAATGCATTTTGTCGTATAAAGTAGAAATACTATATAAGTTAGAAAAATGATTTTATATTTTCAGTTAAAGTAACTTCGAGTGCAAAGGGTTGAAATGGGTCTAGATTGATTGTACTACGAGTCGTTTTTATAAAACTGGAACAGTCTGAATCACGGAGATTCGTCGCAAATCGACGAAGACTTCCTGAGAACACTGTACAAGTTTTATGCTTTCTTTTAGCATCATAACCGATGTTATAAACGTTTAGGGGCCACCCGATCGCGGTCAGAGCATTTATCTAGAGACAATGTTTCTCTGTACTCAATGGATGACTCAAACGGAAATGTTTTAAAATCACTAGTCATTCTCAATGATCAATACTAATCAGGAATGTTACAGATACGGCCAGGCAATCTAGTATGTCAGGGTAAACATACTACGTTCAGCATGATATTGAACAACCTTGAACATTAAATTGCAAAATGTGAAATGAATAAATAGCTAATATATGAATAAAATATTTGAATGTATGAAATATTTGAATAAAAATGTAATCTTTTCTTCTGTACTTACTTATCTTTTTTATAATTATCATTTTCAAAATATGCAAAACAGAATTTGCTGCTGTACAAATTGGTTAGCTGTAAATATTGCACCAATTAACAAATTAATTAACCAATTAATGTTCAAGACAATATGCTCTCGGTCTGAAGAAGATAAATTCCAAGTTGAAAACAATTTTGTTGTCAACTTCACAATCAATCGCAATTCTTAATCCGTTCTTCTTGGAGATCGGCTCTTATCACCACCATTTTTGATAAATTTCTTATAGTAACGGTTTCGTTTGTATCATACAGATTTCCGCTGATACACGTGCGCTATTAGATTAAATTGTTCGACTGACGTCATCGCTCAACATCTCGCAAGAGCAATGTACTTTTTACAATCGTTCCTTTGTCGCGATTCGTAAATAATTACGAATTTATTATTATTAATTAAAACGCAATGATAGCATCATACCAAGAATAGCATAATTTATTTTATTGCATCTTGGGACGCGATGCGATTTATGAAGTGGCAGATGACAATAGATATTATTTTATCATTGTATCTCGTTGTTTTACACGTGAATCTCCAATATCAAACATATTAAATCCTTATCAATCTCTTACAAGAAATGCAATTGTTGGAACGATATATCAACATCCAAAGATTACGTGACTTGATTTTTCTTTCACTTCCTTAGTCTATAACACAATTCCATGATAATTTCTGTATTAATATGAAATTGTGAAGGCAAGCTTGGTGTACTTGAACATTTCTTCTTTTATATATTTATAAATATACTTGTGAAGATTTGTTCCAAAATGTTTCAAGATCTACTGTCTTTCTTTGTAATTGAATTATAACATTATTTATCATAGGAATTATGTTAGCATAACACTCGTGATTTATGCTACTGAAACACGTTAAACTCTATAGCAATTAGAAAAAAAAACGTTGAAGGAGAATTATGAAATGTTCAAGGAAGACTACACAATCGAGACTGCACGCTCTTTTTGCAAGCACAATTAAAATGCTCGTTTTCCTTCATGTATCAAATCATTTCATCATTCTGCACTAGGTAACTGGTTCCTAAAATATTATGAGTTTGTTTTTAATATGCTAGTACTTAAAAATTGCTAAAAATTTAAACGAAGGAACATTCTAAATCAAATAAAGTGCCCAGGTTTTGGAGTTAGAGTTGCTCCAAGTGCAAGGGGTCAAGCTTTACTTCTTTGAATGATGTCCTCAAACTCTCCTGTTGTATTTGTTACAGACTGCCAGTGCATCTCAACCTAAAGCTATAAGAATGGCAGGTTCTCCAGTGTTGGAGAACGAAGGCGAGACTGAATTTATCGATGAACCTCTCTTTAGTATCCCTGATATTGTACTTTTAAGTGCACTCCTACTGGCTGCAGTATGGTGGCTGATGCGCAGGAACAAGCAGGAAGATTATGCTGCCTCAGCAAAGTCCTACTCCATTCAGTAAGTTCTGCATGTCATAAGAATACACATATCTCTATAAAACCCTAAAAAACATACTGTACCATTTGAAAGTGGTTTACATGTTCTAAAAATTCTAAACTTGTGGTCCTGTTTGTTTCAAACTTTTGGATGTTGCTAACTTCAATTTCGTGGATCGCCTTTATTAACATTTTTAAATAACAGTAAATCTATTAAACGTTTTCAGGATATACATCGGACATTAAACTTCCTTACATTTATTTGTGCACAGATTAATTGAATTGCATAATGTCTAGAAACCTATATAAGTACACAATGTGCTACAGATAACGTGATCTGGAAAACACTTCAGGATCTATTAGAACCGGTATAGAAACACTGATAAACGTCATGTATAGTTTAAGATGTCGCCCTCCTAAAAAGTAGGCTGAACTTTCGCAATTAGTATTTTAGGAAAGCCTTTCCCATTAATATTAATAAATGTTGTTAACATTAGATTCCCTTCAGTAACTAATTTCTATGATTATGTTTACCATATGCCTCAATTTAATCCTTTATGACTAAATATCTACGTCAGAAAAATGGTTGGTACTAATGTTTAGTTAATTGAGAATTGTTTCTTTTAAAGGCCAACGCTATATCCCACGGTAACGCCGTCAGAAAATTCGTTCATTAAAAAGTTGAAGACTTCTGGCAGAAGTCTTGTGGTATTCTATGGCAGCCAGACTGGTACTGCTGAAGAATTCGCGGGTCGGTTGGCGAAAGAGGGTATCCGTTATAAGATGAAAGGCATGGTAGCTGATCCCGAGGAATGTGATATGGTAAAAACACAAAATGTATTTTCTATTTATTCTTCCATGGAGTCATAACTTCTACCATAGTTTAGTTTTCTGTTCAGCTCGTCAAGATCTATAAATAATCCCCTATTAGTTTTATTGAATGTGTAAATGAGTAAAAGGAACAATATTCCAGTGTTATGATTTATTGGTGTATAAATATTATAGTTTACAATAATTATAATTTTTTATAACAGGAGGAGTTGATAAATCTAAAATCAATACCAAATAGTTTGGCAGTGTTCTGTTTAGCCACATATGGAGAAGGTGATCCTACAGATAACGCTATGGAATTTGTAGATTGGTTGAAAAATGGTGATGCCAATCTAGATGGATTGAATTATGCTGTACGTATTGTTTTCTATTTTACACATGCTAAAAACCTACCTTTAGAAACACTATATTTTTATGAACATCTTACAGTAATATGCATAATTTCAAAAATTGAATTCTAAAGGTAACTTTAATTGGTCTAATCTTGTCTATATCAATTTGGTCGGGTCATATTTTATAATATGCTTCCTATCAAATGCAAGACAATATTGTCAACATGAACTAGCTATGCATGCTAATGAATGTATAATTCATTTTCTCATAAACAATGATTATAGTATACAAGGTGTCCCAAAAATATTTGAATCAAATGAAATAGGTAATCCCTAAGGCCATTCGAAGACACATTTTCCTTGTTATAAAGGTCGCTATCGCGACAAAATTTGTAGACTGTACTTACCGATCACTGGTGGTGAAAAAAACACATGAAGAAAATTTTTGCTAAGGTTAAGGTATCTTAAAATGACCTCAGTAAGTACCCTTATTTAATTCGTATATTTCTGGGACACCTTGTACTTTAAATTCTTTGTGTCGATGATGTTAACTAATATCTGCCAGGAACAGTGTTCGCAGAGATGATCTCTTTGCTTCATCCTTTGACATATGAACAAAGTTGCTTGAAATAAAACATGTTAGGTGGTTTATCCTATATAATGCCCACTATTTCCTGATTTTGTTCTATTATTCCGTAAACTTGTCAATACGACATTAATAATCAATAGTAAGAAATAATTTCATCGTATCATGGTTAAAAACCGGCATTATATATTTTAAGATTATATATTTTAAACGATTATCTAAATTTAACACTGTTTTTACAAATGAATTATAATGAATATTCAATAAGAATGTTTTAACATACGGTGAGATGGCAGCCATCTTCCTTTTAAACTCGAATAGTTTAGGAAATCAAACTTACTTTCTAAGTCAATTTTACATAATTCAACAATTTTTCAATGTACATTTATCATAACCTTCGTTATCATGTACATTTCAATATCCAACATCGAACATTTCCATTGTGAATGATTCAGGTCACGCGAATGACGAGCATTACATAAGCAACTCGTATTGGCCACGCGTACTTCTACAGTTATACCGTAATAACTTACGAATTTTACATATGTGCATTTAAAAAAAGAACAAAATCATTTTGATATTGTTAATGATACGGACAACAGTTACACTAAATAATAATCGGTTTTAAAAATATTTTAAGAATGAACATCAAGAAATTCGATAAACTTTTACGAGTGATAATCAAACATTATAGGTACGATAGCGCTACCCGTCGGGCGTTTGCAACATTATTTTTGCCGCCAACATTTGAGGTACTTGTAGAGTGCTTTTTCGTGTGATTAATATTGCAGTCATTTTAATCAATTTTCATTTAATTATTATTACAACTTTATATTATAATTTTCTTGTTTACGTCTCTTTCGATATCATAAAATAATATTGCTCAGGATATCGAAAATATTCAATTTAAAACATAAAAATAAACGGTGCTTGGCGAAAAAAATGCTTATCAGATATAAGTTTTGGTAATTAAGTGATTTGCATGGTTCCCTTTACCCTTTTTATTTAAATTCATTACATTATTTTCATGTAAATTAAGAATTTAGCGTATTCTTCATTGTTATAGAATGTACATAAATTATTATTATTATTTTCTTTTCAAAATTTTTATCTTTCATGTAGTGTTTGAAGTAGTGACTTGTTAATTATATTAAGAAGTTAGTTGCATTAAATTGCATTCCTTACTTTTAATATTTTATTTGTTCATTCTACTTTGCAGGTGTTTGCTCTGGGAAATAAAACGTATGAACATTACAATGAAGTAGGATTATATGTTGATCACAGACTAGAACAACTTGGTGCTACTCGTGTTTTTGAACTTGGCTTGGGCGATGACGATGCAAAGTAAGTATATATAGTCCTCAGTCTTTTAATTATTAAATATTTTATAATGTACAATATTACATTTTAATATCTTCCAATATTTTAATTTGAAGAATTTCTGCAAATTAATTAATTTTGATTTATTATAGTGTAACTTTTTATATAATAACTCGTGGCTATTAAATTTTATTGTGAATAATAAAAGTGACTTATATTTACTATTATAGTATAGAAGATGATTTCATCACATGGAAGGACAAGTTTTGGCCTGCAGTTTGTGAATTCTTTGGAATTGAGGGAGCAGGCGAAGATGTTAGCATCCGACAATATCAACTTACTGAACACAATGATTTGCCTATTGAACGTATCTATACTGGTGAAATAGCTCGCCTTCACTCATTCAAAACTCAACGAGCGTATGTTATTTGAATATCTTATGACTGTGTATTCATAATTTTCACAATACTCACATTTGTTTTGTTACTTCTAAAGGCCGTATGATGCAAAGAATCCTTTCTTGGCTCCAGTCAAAGTGAACCGAGAATTGCATGGACCAAAATCAGACAGGTCTTGCATGCACATAGAATTTGATATAGAAGGCTCGAAAATGCGGTACGAAGCTGGTGATCATTTGGCAGTATATCCTGTAAATGACACAGAATTAGTAAACAAAATTGGAATAAAATGCGGTGTCGACTTAGATACTGTGTTTACGCTTACAAATACAGATGGTAAATTGAAAATCTTAATTTAACAAATTAAAACTTGCTTGACATATTTTCATCTTGTTACTTGTTGTATTATAGAGGAATCTACGAAGAAACATCCATTCCCTTGTCCTTGCTCTTATAAAACTGCTTTAACACATTACTTGGATATTACTAGCAATCCACGTACTCATATTCTTAAAGAATTGGCAGAATATTGCACTGATTCAAATGATAAAGAGAAGTTGAAGTTAATGACCTCAACCAGTGCGGAGGGCAAGGCTGCTTACCAACAATGGGTTGTTCAAGAAAATAGAAACATAGTACATATTTTAGAAGATATTCCTAGTTTAAAACCAGCTCTAGATCACTTATGTGAACTTCTACCGAGATTACAATGTCGTTATTATTCAATTTCTTCATCGCCAAAGGTAATAATATCCTTGACCTCTATTATAGAAAAATTGTATCTTGCACAGTGGAGTTCTTTTCATACATTGTTAACCTTGTATGAAAATAACTGTAAACCCATATTTATAATATCTCAATGAATTTGTTTTCAGTTGCATCCAACGTCTATTCATATTACTGCAGTTGTGGTAGAATATACGACTCCTACCGGAAGAATTAATAAGGGCGTAACAACCAGCTGGTTAAGGGAAAAGCACCCATCGGACCCACCTTGTCTTGTTCCTATTTTTGTGCGAAAATCTCAATTCCGTCTACCAACTAAAGTGCTCACACCTGTTGTTATGGTTGGTCCGGGAACTGGTATAGCACCGTTCAGAGCATTTATCCAAGAACGCGATCTCGCTAAACGGGAAGGTACCTACAATATATTTAATAACATAAACTAATAAAATTAATTTCGATTATTTAAAAAGAAAACTTTCCCTATAGCTCTGAATAATTTATACTTTTCAGGCAAAGAAGTCGGTGACACTATTTTGTACTTTGGATGTAGGAAGAAAGACGAAGATTTCCTCTATAAGGAAGAACTCGAAGAATATGTGAAGAATGGTTCTTTGATTATGCATAATGCATTCAGCAGAGAGCAAGACCACAAAGTATATGTTACACACTTATTGGAAAAGAATAAGGACGAGTTATGGAGAGTTATCGGGGAACAATATGGTCATATCTATGTCTGTGGGTTAGTATATGATTCTTACAGTTTTTTCATTTATCTAAAGAACATTTTTGCGAGTACATTTCGTGTTTTTTTATTAGTGACGCCAAAAACATGGCACGTGACGTACATAATATCTTATTGAAAGTTGTGATGGAGAAAGGTAAGATGGCGGAACTTGATGCAGCTACATACATTAAGAAGATGGATTCACAAAAACGTTATTCGAGTGATGTATGGAGTTGAATTTCGTTATTTATTTTAATTTCATGAATATTTATAAGTCAAATTGTCTATGTAAACATTTGAAATACGCCTTCATCAAGAAGCCTACACTTATAACTTTCGTGCAATTGTACGATACGCTTGTAAGCATTTAAAATGTTAAGAGATAATTACAGATGTTAGCAAAAATCATTCAAACCTTAAATGTATTTATTATTCGTAAGTAGTTAATGAATTTTGTATAAATATTAATATCAATGTTTTCTTCTATTTTAACTCATTTTATCTAATAATACTAGCGTTTTTATGGGAATCATTACAACGCAATTTANTTATAGAGGAATCTACGAAGAAACATCCATTCCCTTGTCCTTGCTCTTATAAAACTGCTTTAACACATTACTTGGATATTACTAGCAATCCACGTACTCATATTCTTAAAGAATTGGCAGAATATTGCACTGATTCAAATGATAAAGAGAAGTTGAAGTTAATGACCTCAACCAGTGCGGAGGGCAAGGCTGCTTACCAACAATGGGTTGTTCAAGAAAATAGAAACATAGTACATATTTTAGAAGATATTCCTAGTTTAAAACCAGCTCTAGATCACTTATGTGAACTTCTACCGAGATTACAATGTCGTTATTATTCAATTTCTTCATCGCCAAAGGTAATAATATCCTTGACCTCTATTATAGAAAAATTGTATCTTGCACAGTGGAGTTCTTTTCATACATTGTTAACCTTGTATGAAAATAACTGTAAACCCATATTTATAATATCTCAATGAATTTGTTTTCAGTTGCATCCAACGTCTATTCATATTACTGCAGTTGTGGTAGAATATACGACTCCTACCGGAAGAATTAATAAGGGCGTAACAACCAGCTGGTTAAGGGAAAAGCACCCATCGGACCCACCTTGTCTTGTTCCTATTTTTGTGCGAAAATCTCAATTCCGTCTACCAACTAAAGTGCTCACACCTGTTGTTATGGTTGGTCCGGGAACTGGTATAGCACCGTTCAGAGCATTTATCCAAGAACGCGATCTCGCTAAACGGGAAGGTACCTACAATATATTTAATAACATAAACTAATAAAATTAATTTCGATTATTTAAAAAGAAAACTTTCCCTATAGCTCTGAATAATTTATACTTTTCAGGCAAAGAAGTCGGTGACACTATTTTGTACTTTGGATGTAGGAAGAAAGACGAAGATTTCCTCTATAAGGAAGAACTCGAAGAATATGTGAAGAATGGTTCTTTGATTATGCATAATGCATTCAGCAGAGAGCAAGACCACAAAGTATATGTTACACACTTATTGGAAAAGAATAAGGACGAGTTATGGAGAGTTATCGGGGAACAATATGGTCATATCTATGTCTGTGGGTTAGTATATGATTCTTACAGTTTTTTCATTTATCTAAAGAACATTTTTGCGAGTACATTTCGTGTTTTTTTATTAGTGACGCCAAAAACATGGCACGTGACGTACATAATATCTTATTGAAAGTTGTGATGGAGAAAGGTAAGATGGCGGAACTTGATGCAGCTACATACATTAAGAAGATGGATTCACAAAAACGTTATTCGAGTGATGTATGGAGTTGAATTTCGTTATTTATTTTAATTTCATGAATATTTATAAGTCAAATTGTCTATGTAAACATTTGAAATACGCCTTCATCAAGAAGCCTACACTTATAACTTTCGTGCAATTGTACGATACGCTTGTAAGCATTTAAAATGTTAAGAGATAATTACAGATGTTAGCAAAAATCATTCAAACCTTAAATGTATTTATTATTCGTAAGTAGTTAATGAATTTTGTATAAATATTAATATCAATGTTTTCTTCTATTTTAACTCNGCAATTTAATGCAGACTTCTACATTTGACAAATATGCTCAATAAGTATACTATTAGAAGCCGTTTTTGATACACTAATAATCTATGATTACAATGGTTAGATGAAATAGATTTCATAAATATTTTGCGGGAAATATTCATGCACGCATGATAAAACATATGCTTACATATGTATAGGTAATTTATCCTGTAAAAAGAATGTTCAAAGAATTTATTAAACGGTTTTTATCAAGCGTGTAACTGAACTGTAACAATTTTGAAAATTGTTAGAGATATTAATAGATACATTAATATTGAAAAGGGTTCATCATTAAGTAAAGTCATGATCTTTATATTTTAAAGATGTACAAAAAATTGTTATATGTAAGATTTTTACATTGTTTATCAGGAATGGTAACAACATTGTGCTGATTTATGTACACATTATGGTGACTGCGTACAGTAAATGTGTACACTTACCGATCCATTTAGCAAAAACTTGTTAATGAATGCAATACAGAAGAATTCATTAAAAAATTTTATTTTCAATTCATTAAAAATATATACATACAAAGAATAACAATTAAATTATACAGTAATAATTAGGTCGTCGTCGCTTAGCAGAGTGATCTGAGAACTCTTTGTATTAGAATTAATTATAACAGGTCAGAGATAAAATTATTTTACTTTCTAATTCCAAAATATTATTTTCGATCAATGCATCACTTAAAAAGTTGAGACGATATGATCTGTAATAATATTTTTTTAATTTTGATCATGTCAGTTTCTAGTATTTCTTTGTCACCCATATACTCATATCGTCAAATTCCCCTTATGCTAATAAGGTATAATTTTACTGGATATGAAAATAATCTGTAACATTAATAATTAAAATATCGTCATTATAGTATCTGTACACCTTTACTAGCGACATTGAACTGTGTATCAAATTTGCGTAAAGAAACATTTTATCAAATGTACTTTTCAAGTTGCAAAACCAGGTAATATGGTTAATAAACAATTATTATTTTTAAACATTGATCGGTTTAATATTTCTTTTCTTTTCACAATTTGCATATTATATTTAAATCATTTTAAGTTTAAAGTGCCTAAGGCTTAACAAGTCCTAGAACTGCAATTATATATTAAAAGTAAAAACCACTGTAAATATATAGATATTATTCATATTTAATAAACACTGAATTTACGTACTCGTTAAAAATATAATTTATCTTAATTTATTAAGCATCTCTTAATATTTCCTAGTAGAAGTTAGAGAAAGAGAAAGAGAGAGTATACAAAAATATATTAAAGATTTCCTAGTTTTTAATATTAAGTTTTGAGCTGGTAAGAGCTATATCAGGAATTATCAAACCTTCACTAGGCTCTTGTAAATTTTCAGAAACGTTTGTGCTACTAATGTTTGTTGTTGCACTATTCGAATTTGAATTTTGTAATTTTGAGTGCAACGGTGTGGAAGTTCTGCCTTTGAGAAGCACTGCATGCTCTGTACTCTTGCTGGCTTCTTTCACAGATATCGAGGACACATCACTGAAATCTAGTAAGCCGTAATTACTTTCAAATTGCTTTTTCACAGGCGATATTCTTTTACCAGTATTTATTGGCGTTCGTTCATCAGAAGTAGATGACGAACTTAAGGCACTCGCTTCTCGCGTTTTCTTCAATGTCGTTATCGCCCATCCTAAGCCAAGCTTTTTAAGAGCCGTTTCCATTTCTTCCGGGGATGATGCATATTTTAATACATCGGATGACGGTGTACTTGCTATTTGAGAAATTCCAGACAATCCAGAAAAGCTGTTTGAACTTGTGGATGTTATTCTGTCATTATTTTTATTTTCGTTATTTCCACTAACATTAGTATAAGGATGTGACTGTAACTGTTCCTTTGGCGATAATCTTTTATTCTGAGTATCGCATTGTAACTTTTTATTTAAGGTTTCTTTATCTTCCGTTCGGGAAGAGACAGCTTTGAATGCTTTTGATGTATCAAATCGGGCTGCACTCGCTTGTATCCTATGTTTTGTGGCTTCTGAAGACAACATTGATGTTGAAGGATCGTAAGATTTTTTCAATTGTTGTTGGTCATTGGTGTTAACAGAAACAGCTGCACGTTCTGCTGGATCAATTACAACGGCAGTTTTAATCGCCCGTGTCGCTGTAACCTTTTTCACAGATGTTGGTGATCTGACATTGTTCTGACTTTTATTCACAGTATCTGGTGTATCAAATTCAATTATTGTTGACAACTCATGACCTGATGATTCAATTTCAGTCCTGAAATTAAATGTCTCCATGAAATGATTATATGTGAAAGGACTATAATGCATAGTGTAGACAGGAAACTGTTCTCACCTATATGGTCCACTAAGTAGACTTACTGGTGGTTTACTTCTCCCATTGGTGAATATAGTTACATCTCTTGATACTTTCGGAATGTCCGCGAGTAATGGAACAAAGTCTTCAACTTCCTTTACCTAAACAAGTATCAATAATACTGGTAATAGAAACACGAACTATGCGTTGGACAATATTTAATAACCAAAAATACAAATTACCTCTTTAGAAAACTGGTTCTGCGTGGCCGTATCATTTCTAGAGTCAACAGCGTCAGGCTGAAGTTTATGATCTACCGTTGAATCGACACATTCTTTTGTTGCTAGTAAATTATTTTTAAGGCTCTTACTTTGTTCTAGAATTTCTTGCGATAACGTTTCTATCATTTCCTCGTCACGTAACTTTGATGTAAGTCGGGTATTATTATCTTGTGTTGTTGCCTCTAATGTTTTCGGCCGAAGCTGTACCTTGTACCTGTCGAGCTGTATCTTAACTCTTTCATCGCTTATAATTCTTGGCTTAGTTTTAACTCTTTGTTCTTCTACTTTTGATGCAACGTATGGAGATGTGATCTTCTGTAAACCTTCATTTGTTTGAGTCTCTGCATTTACTTCTTCAAGTTGATTAGTGTCTTGTGTTTGAACCGTTTTATTTTTTATAATATTTTGCGACTCAATGAGTGTTTTTGCAAGTTGATTATGAATTGCTTCTATATTCTCAACAAGATTGCGAACACTTTGTAGATCGTTGTTCTTTACTTTCACTGGAGGCAACTGCATCAGACTGGTTTCATCGCATGGATTGATTATTGATAGTTCCACCCCTAAAATAATTGTGAAATCATTCAGAAAGAATTTAAGCCAAATTTTACAAATTAAGAATTGATATACAGTACATTCTCCCTAATTGACGCGCAGATTGTGCACAAAAATGAACAATTTCGGTAACTATAAAAACGAACCACAAGGCTTGAGTAATCGTATCTCCTCTTCTCAAATTGTCCATTTCTGTGTATAATCTGAACATCACTTAGGGAGAATTTACTCGTTTCAATACTACAAAATGAATTTTGTCGTACCTTTCTGCTCATTTCGAACCTTTTCAATAAGATTCGTTAATGATACAATTCTTTCTGTGCACATAGTTTGAAGATCTTCATACTTTTGTAATATTTCAGGACAGTCTTTCAATGCGCATTTATGAATATGACTAAATTTTGCATCCATTAGTTTGCATTCTGGATTCTCACACGTGCAAGTTCCCTTTGAAGAAGCCGATTGCTTCAAAGAGTGCCTTCTCATATGTTCGGCTAATTGATTATTTTGTTGATAACGAGACGTATCTGTCGTCGTTGACTGATCATTTTTCGTAGATGACAGTATGCTGCTATCATTTATTTGTGAATCTATCGTTGTATATTTAAGCATTCTGCTAAGTTTACCAACATGAGGTATATTCGAAGGCATTCTCATAGTACGCGGCGATGGAGTTTCCGGTGTTGATACTGGACTAACATCTCTTCGTAATAATTTCATGCTATCATTTACTGAAGAATCTAACAATTCAAGAATAGACATATTATTGCTTAACGCTTCAAGAATATTTTTGGGTTTGCTCGGTGGCAAACTGGCAAAAGACGTTGATGAATCTGAGAAGTCCTTCATTTTAATTTGTGTTGATTGCGACCTAACACTATAGGATTTGGTAGTTATTTGATCCTGTTCTGTTGTGGAACATTTTTTAGAACTTTGCGTAGCTGCATCTACAGTCACCCCTGACGCTTCGGCCGGATTTACTTCAATATTGAACCCGGACTGATTAACATATATTTTAATTCTCTTATTAGGCGAGGAAGCAACACGGATAGGTTTTCTCAAATTGCTCAGTCGCGATCTCGATAAAGTTTTTGAAAGCTTCTTTGTAGAACATGCTGTTTTACTTACTAAAGGTGACTTTTGCTTTTCTTTTTTAGGGAAACGCTTTTTGTGTTTTTGTTTCACAGGAGTTGTACTTGTATTAACAGTGTCATTCATTGTATTTAAAAGTATAGACGTTGATGATACACTACTATCTACATCTGGAGTAATAACTATAACTTTTGGTTCAAGTGGATGATGTTTGGTGACCTTATCAACTTCATCGTTGATCGCCTTAGGATCGCTTACTTTTTCTTGTACCATCTCTACTTGAATACTTTTATCTTTAACTTCATCATCCTTCGTTCCCGTGGTAGTTTGCACAGCAATTTCTACTTTTTTGACAGATGAGCTATCTTTAGCTTCTGTCTTATCCTTTTTACTACTCTCGCTACAGCAAGGCGCACTTATTACTTTAATCTCTGGTGACATAGGTGTTTCATGAATCGGTGCATCCTGATGTAGAGTCGACTGCACTTGAATCGCTTTATCTTTTTCGAATAAAGGCTTCATAGTTGCATTAAAAATATCACTTGGTAAATCTGCTCCAAATTCTTTCAATAAGAGCTGTTTTTGCTTTTCAACCTTCTTTAACATATCTAATATTTGTTCCTCACGTGAAATCTCGGCTTCTTTATGCCTGCTTTGTACAGTTCTGCTGTCTTGGCGTTTGTTGGTACAACATTGATCTTCCCAAACAGCATTTACATCAACACCTCTATCTTCTTCTCTAGGCACAAGAGTAATTTGTTTTTCTATAGGATATGACGGACATTTTTCCAAACATTCTTCATGCAACAAAGTTTGCAATGCACGGTTTAGCTTTTGCTTATGCTGATCTCTCAGCATTTTCCTTCGTTCTTGTAATACATTTACATCTTTCTGGAAAGACAAGTATAATGTAATGAGTTGAACATTGATAAGAGAAAGAATAATTTAAAAGTCGAACAAGTACCAAATAAGATTCAGCTTGATTAGCTTTCAATTTACGTTCCTCTACTGTAAGATGGTTTAAATTTTGCACAAGCACTTGATAATCACGTCGTACTTTTTCTCTCAACACTGCATCTTCGCCACGCTTTTGAGCAGTAGCTTTACGACTTTCCATTAAATGCGCTTTAACAGCTTCAGACTTTTCAATTTCTTGAGCTAAGTCTATTGCACTTGGCTATACAAATAAATTTATAATATTAAAGAACATAATTATATAGGAGTCATCTATCACTGAAATATATATATATTTTATATATTTTTGTTTATTTTCTTATTAATAGTTTTTATATTTTGTTTGTAATTACAAACCTCAGTCCATGCATGTATTTTTTCAACTACACCAACTGGTTTATTATATACATTACTTTGATGCTTACTATGATCATATAATTGTACTTTATCATTTGCTGACGAAATAACTTTCTGTTTTGGTGTTTTTATACATTTTGATTGTTCAGTAGTAGTAGGTAGACATGAACAGTCATCACTTATGGAACCAGAGCTATCACTCTGACTTGTAGAAGTTAAGGCTGATGTTGATTGTACATAATCCTGTGGATTGTATCTGTAATATTAAAAAGTTAGTTTAACTGTCTTAACACTGTGTTATGTTACAATTTTAATTACACAGCATGTACCTTAATGTTTTATCGACTTCTGCTAATGCAGCTGCTGAATTTGGTAGCAGTTTCTCTGAATTTTGATTTCTGTGTTCAAGTTCAAGCTCACTTTTTGCAGTACTTGATGTAGTAGCTGTACTTTTTAGTGCAGATGGATTTGTAGCTGATGTGGTAACAAATTGTTCATCTGATATCATAAGGTCATTCTTTGGATCACTACTTAACATCTGACGTTTTAATTGCATATGGGGTGGCTGTGTCTTTAAATCACTGGCAATAATCTGTAAGAAAGATGTACTAATACATAAACTCTAACTTATGAAGTTCATAGTCCAATTTCAATTACTATACCTTTGTGTATGTTTTTGTCGTTTTTCCTGGTGACTTTTTAAAACACTGCTTCCTTGTCTTCTTTTTAACAGGTTTATTTTGTTTATTTCCATCATCAATTTCCTTGTCTATGACATTTGACTCCAGCAATTTCACATGAGGAAGTTTTGCTACCATTGCTGACCTTAGATTCTCTAATTCCCGTACTTGACGTAGTCGATTTTGATGTTGTTGTTCCTCAGATTCTTTCTACATGGATTTTACTTATACTTTTATAAATTTTAATCTAATATACTATATTAAAATTTAGAATGTAAGTAATTATGTGCATTAAAAATCTTACTTGTTGCTGTTCATGAATCTGTTGCATTGCTTCTTTTCCTCTTTTTGATGCTGCTAATTTATTCTTTCTTTCTTTCTCTTGAACAACTTCATCATGATCGGGTTCCAATATTGCAGACAAATGTGCCAGACCAATATCTGCCATGTCTTCTTGATATTTTTGTTGGATTTCCAAAATTTTCTCATTAAATGACTGCCTTGAATTTAAATTATCATTGCTCTGCAACTTCTTTCGCTCTTCCTTAGTTATATTCTTAACACGTTCCAAAAGTCTATCTGATATGTCTTTAGACTGTTGCCTCACCTATATATAAGTGATTTGATTAATTTTTTAATTTTTTTAATATACTTATTATATTATTGGCCATGACGATACAATATCATTTAATGCAAAAAATCTTCTTCTATTTAAATAGATATTATTATCGTTTATTACTTTTAATTTACATATACGTATACCTGCTCCAAGCGTAACCTGCGACGTCGGTCTCTCTCATTTTTCTTAATTTGGTCTAAATCGGACAATACCATTCTTCCGTGTCTTATACTTAAGGGGTTTCCGTTGACAGTAACATTAATGGACATGTTTTTTGTTAGCACAGTCAGTTGCCATTCAAAGAAATCTTAAACGAAGTATGTACGTCTTCGTAACTCAAATTTGAACTGTACCAACACGAAGTTGGAATACTAGGGACGAAACTTTTGTCAGATTTCGGAATTTACAATGTCCGTGACCTCAAGTTAGATGACCTTGCAACTTACATGCAGACAGTGTTGCCGTTTCTTTATGTTGATGTATGTATTAGATACAAACCATATGTACATATTACGAATTCTATTTTCTTGATGAGCAATATGTATATACGTATATAATTATTGAAATGATGAAACTTTCCGGAATTTATGTTTGCCATTGTTTAAAGAAAACCGCATTACATTTCATATTCTAAACTTTAGAATCTAAAGATACAGTTTTACATATATTACAACTTTACTTTCTACATATGTAATTCCTATTTCCTATTAAAGGAGAATTTAGTAACTACATTCTGTATTACTGTCAGCTGATACGAGCGGGTATGTCTTGTTGGAACCACAACAGACCAGTCAGAGATAGGTCACATAACGATTCAGGATGCCATTACAATTTCTATGACAGGATCTGTCCTTAACATAAATAGTCAATGCGTATAATATATAAAATATATGTTATACATAAAATAAAATGTGAATCTACTAACGTTCTTGGATGGGAAAGAGAAGATTCGATGAATTCACATTACGAAAATGACTATCTAGTGCTAAAAGAAAAGTCTAGGATATTTAGTAGTGCGAGGGTCAGCCCTGTATTATATGTAGCCACTACATGGGACAACAAGCAATGTTCAGAGGCAACTACTTACGCGGTTGAGATACACACTTTATCATTCAAGTATCACGCATCCTTTGCTCTTCTTCATGATGCGTTCATTCAGGTGATTAATGTTTGCCTAAACAAATCTGTAAGTTGACTTGGGAAGTATTAATTGCAATAGAAATCTCGAATCATTTATGTCGAGAGTGATGAACGGAAAGTGAAATAGTCAAGACTGGAACAGATCTCTACATTGACGAAAAAGTTCTATCAGTGTGTAATGTATAATTCTATATTATTGGAGCGCCAAAACTTTATATTAACGCTTAAACCTGACTGTTTTTAATCAGCATAATCATTGTTGAAATGATTTAGAACGAATCTATTATATTTATGCTCCTCCTGGAAGACTGAGATCCAGAAAAAAAGTGTTCATTAGAAAACTACATGAAACATTTTAAACAATGATTATCTTTCACATGCAATACATTATTTTAAAGGCATATGGTAAGTGTTCACTAATTTTATCCATTACAATATATAGTTTTACTGAAATGTGTTAAAGCATGTATCTTGGAGACAA